TCCTGTGAGTTTCATGACAACAGGCCTATCGGTTTTCCTTGAAATGTGTTAACAGTGTTGCATATATGCTGAAAAGTGAAAAAACAGCATAACTACTAAAATAGTGGCCCGATCATGCTGATTTTCGAACTTGACCTGCGTTTTAGTAAGATCGATTTTTCCTGTGAGTTTCATGACAACAGGCCTATCGGTTTTCCTTGAAATGTGTTAACAGTGTTGCATATATGCTAAAAAGTGAAAAAACAGCATAAATTCTACAATAATGGCCCGATCATGCTGATTTTCGAACTTGACCTGCGTTTTATGAATATTAGTCAGCGCTGTAAATATAAAGCCAAAAAGTAAAACTGTCTTCCACTTATGGTGTTAACGCTGAAAGTGCACGGCGACGGCGACATGATCGGCGACGGCGACGACAGACGCAGGTGATGGCAATATGTACAGACACATCTGTGTCTGTACATAAAAAGCTTTCGTTATTACTATTAATGTTTGTAATTGATAATTTGTAGATACTATTCATGATTATTGAATAGAAGTACACTAGAATGTTTTTAAAACAATGGCCGTTGGAAATTCATCAATTGCTTCATTGTGTTTCTCTTAAAGTTAATATGGAATCAGAAAGTAATATATTTCATTTAAAAAGGGCCATTTGATAAAATTATCATAAAATACCTGTAAACCTGTTTGCCAGTTTTTATGCAAAATAAAGTTATCCAGGCCTGGACTCAAAATTCTTTCTCTGAAAAAATGGACCTCTTTACTGTGAAACCTACCTTAGACCTTTTCTCTGGTAAAAGTTTTATTTTTAATCGACTCGTGAGAACCCCCTCTGCCTATGCGCTATAAGTTCTGTTATATGTACAGATATGTTAAATGTCTCTGTTCTGTATTGAAGGTTACAATGTCCCAACTACCAACTGCCCGTATCTGTTCCTCTGGGCCGCCAGCATATTTGACAAGACCATCAAGATGGTGCTGCCCTCTGTGGGCAAAGTGGCGAAGTTTGACAATACCAGGGTAAGTTGCTTATGTGTTTACTGTTTTTATTTGCAGAAAAAGGATTTTTAAGAATGGGTTTTTAGTAAACCTGTTTAAAAGCCAGTGTCAATCATCAGTGCAAGATGTTGACGAGATAGATCAAATTTATACCTTAATTATGTTAGAATTGTAATGACTATTACTGGTAATTGTGGTACATGAAACTCTGAAGAAATGTGAATGGAAACGATAATATTGGAATATTACAGTAAGTGATGTGTTTAAAAAAAGTATGTAATCACCATATCATAATTTCATGCAAACAGTTAGTTGACCAAAAATTATTTACTATCCAATACTGGTGTCTCACAAGTCGAATTCTTTTGACAATTAATGAAACCTGTCGCCTCAATCCCTGCATAATGTCATTAGATACATACATGATATGAGATCGCAGATGATTTTGCAATTTAGCGGTTGTTTTGAAGAGTCTTTAAGTCTGACTTAAAATAGTGAATTTTTTTTAAACATATTCAGATGAAGGAAGTCTTGGGTATTGAACCACTTGAGCTGAAAGATACCATTCTGGACATGTGCTATAGTATGATTGAAAAAGGCATGGTGAAGAAGACCAAGAAATACAGAGGGCGCGCACCACTAGGTGAAGATGCACCTGAACAGACTGAAGAGGGAGCCACTGATGAAAATCATAAAGAGGCCAAACTGAATGGTGGGGTTGTGGATGGCAGCAAAGTTGAAGGTCAAACTGAGGTTGAAGGTCAACCAGAAGGTCAGGGGGTTGGAGAAGTGCAGACAGAGCATAATGGTGGGGTTGTAGCAGCTCCTGCCGCTTCTGAAGACGAGAAGGTGGATGAGGACAAAAAAGTAGGTGAAGGTCAAGTTGAGGTCAAAGGAGAAAGCCAGGAAGAGGTCAAAAGTGAATGCCAGGAAGAGGTCAAAGATGAAGGTGATATAGAGGTCAAAGGTGAAGGTGAAATGGAAGTCAAAGGTGAAGGTGAAATGGAGGTCAAAGATGAAGGTGACATGGAGGTCAGAGGTCAGGGAGAAGGTCAAGAAGCAGATGCAAATGCACCAGTGGATGAAACAGAGATTGTACAGGATGAGGTAAAAGGCGTGTCGGTTGAGGAACATCAGCAAACTGCTGAAATTGCTGCAAATGAGGAATGAATAATGTGACTGACTATGAAGGGACCTCGATGCCATGTACATAAACCATAAAAGCTCAACTTGAAAGAACAGACTTAATAGACTGTAAAGTTCAGAAAAACTTCATTATTTGGAAGTTTGAATATTTTTAGCCAGTATCGTGCATATTCTGCTGAAGAGGGTTTTTTTTTCTTCAAAGCGATACAGATTCAGAACCAGTATCCGATGTGATTGATGACATGTTTCTTTTTTCATATTTGATGAAAAAAGGGAGACTATTGAGACAGGTGGTTGTTTGTGTTTAAGTAGGCTTTTTTATACCTGTCCTTTTGACTCTGCTGAGAATTTTCCTATCTGAAAAGGAAAAATAGCAATGTATGAATTATTTTAATGGAAGCTAACTCTCATATTTTTTCATAAAACATGGTACTGTGGTTCTGTGGTAATGGTAACATTGGCTTGACATACTATCAGTTTGTTTTTCAGTTTAAATTTAAGTATTATTGTCCATTGTCTAAAAATTTCAGATACCGATATAAACCTCAAGTGTTATTTTGGTAAACCATTAACAAAAAAGCAATGCAAGATTTATGGTGCATTTCATTAGGTTCAAACCAAATTTGTTGAAAAGGATGAAATATATTGATATTGTATTATATAATACATAGTAATATATAATATATTATATTAACAAATTATTCCAGCTGAAGGATATTTCATAAAAATGTTAAATAAAACAGTATAGTTATTCTCATTGTACAAGTTATTAAGGAGGATTATTGCAATACCAGTAGAGTTAGTTATCCACCCATGTGTGGATGTTATAAACTAAGAGATCTAATTCAGTGCATTGGAACACCATTTGTTTCATGGGACTCTCAGATGAATTGGCCATTGATTCACCTTGACCTGATTTTCAAGGTCAGAAAGGTTTACCCAAGGAAAAATGCTTGGCTGAGTATTTTTTTTTTTTTTTTTTTTTTTTTTTTTTGAAAGCTGGAAACTTTCAATACTTGCATGATCACCATTAAGTGTAAAAAGAGAGATGTGTCCTTTTTTAATCTGCTTGGACCTACCTTACTATGTTCCATTTCTCAAAGATTCTCAGAGGCCTCATACTGGTATGCTATCAGGGGAAATTTATTGGTCTTTTAGCCTGTGTTCCTAGATTTAGATCTATCCATCTGGATTGACCTAACTCCCTTGGGGTTTACGCTAAGTTGCTGTCAGCGGAGCGCGCACTACCCCCTTACAGTTTTTAGTAGGCGGGGCAGACATTTAACCCTGTTAAGCTGACACCAGTCTAGTGAGACTCCCCAGGGGGATAGATCCATCTAAAATCTATGGGAATGCAGTCTTAAGTAGGTCCTTTGAGCAAACTTTTTCACTAAGTTGATTACCCTTATATGGCTTTGCCAGTCCACTTTGCATGGCCATGCACCATGTGAGTGGTTAAAGAAACGTTGAGGAAGAACTTCTTTTTAGTTAGGAACCAGATATATTGCTGATTTCATTTTAAGGACCATACAAATCTGTAATAGCTAAAATTTGTGTTCATTTGGGGGTATTCAAATAGCATTCTTTTCACATATGTTACTACATCAGAATGATAATTACTAGTAACAGTTGTTTTATTTTTGATACTGAAATATGTATATCTCTCTCTTATTAACTTTTCTACCTCTCATTCCCTCTAGTACCCCATTTCCAGAGATTAGATCGATCTACTTTAGATCGACCTAACTCCCTGGGGGTTTACGCTAAATAGCTGTCAGCCGAGCGAACACGAAAGTAAATTACCCCCTTACAGCTTGTAGTAGGCGGGACCGACATTTAAGCCGGATTATCTGACAGTAATCTAGTGAGACTCCCCGTGGGGATAGATCGATCTAAAAGCTCTAGGAATACAGCCTATCTCTTTCTCTGTTTCTCTCTTTCTCTCACAACTTTTCTCTTTGTCTTTATCAGTTTCTCAAACTGGCACTTGTTCACAAAGTAAGTTATATTTGTTTTTGTGCCTGTCAATCACTTCTTGTTTAACGATGTGCTACCAGTTTTTTATCTGTTTTGTATTGCCAATTGTTGTATGTGTTGAGGTTTAGAAAATTTGCTGAAAAGTTTCACACAGTACATTTTATATATATGCAGGTAAAAAACTTTAATGTGCTAGCTATAGACAGTCTTTTGGTAGGCTTCACCTAATTACTGTTGAAAGTAGAATCCATTTTGTTGTTGACAAACATTTGTGGTAAATAAACATTTTGTAGCTAATTAGTTTAATAAAACAAGGACCAGTAAATTAAAACTCAATTCCAAGTACATTTCTACCTTAAACTGAAAGATAAGTGTAGTATTGACACCATTGCCCATATTACATATTTAATTATTGTAGAACAAATATTTATGGTGATTTTGTATGCCTTACTACTTGTATAAATCAGTTTTCAGAAATTGAAATCCTTCTATAACTTCTCAAAGAAACGTAGAAGGAAAAAAGGGGGTTTTTTAGGTTATGTGGAAATTAAGGGAATTATTCTTCACATTGTACAGTAATTATGCTAGGGTAAATTGATTGTATTGTTTCCATGTGAAGATGTTTACACTTGGCGGTTCACAGATGACCAAATAATGAAGAGTTTGGTTAGTTAATGGTTGCTGTACGTTTTAGCATGTTTTATTGCCAGGTATATTTCAGTCATATTCTTGTATCTGTCTTCTATATGTCAGCCTCAGATTCAGAGATCCATGGAAACCCACCTCTGGACTAAAACTACACTAGATAAAAAAAAGTTCTGAAACATGAAATTGATTTTCAATCATCTGTATAATGCAGTCAGAAAATCTTAAGTGTATGATAATAAGTAATGGATGTAGGTTGCATAATCCATCAATAGTTGGTTAACATGTTTACCTTAGCTCATATGGTTATTTTGTGATTATTAAAATAATGTTTTTGAATTTTTTTGTAGATACTGGAACCCCATCAGTCATTCTGGGGATAGAGGGTTACAGGAGTCTCTGAAACTGAAGGTGATATTATGGGACTTTATAAATAAACGAGCTTCAAAAATATTTCATATGCTGAATTTATTTATTTATTTACTTTCAGTTTAAGGAATTCATGTCCTTATGAGGATAACCAAGCATTGTTCATCATGCCAAGTAGAAAACAACTTGGATCATTCATTCCTACATTCAATTTTTCCTGTTTACGTGATTAGAACTTGCGTGATAATTTAAGCTGGTCGTGGTGATTTTCAAAATTAACCTGTACTAATATACAAGGTCACTCAGCAAATTTGAAGAAAAAAACAAAAAATATAGGGCTGATATTGCCAAAATACACAAAAAAATTTAAAAAAAACTAGGGGTCTGGCAATTATTCCATTGAGCCATGATTTAATCAGTTTAATGGTGTGCGTGGAGACGGAAAGACCATCAGCGGATAAGTTGGGACTTCTTTATTGTAGGGTCAGCCATGTTTGATCCGTGGATCACTTGATCCTCAAATTTTCTGTTCTGAATGAGCATTATGAAGAACAACAACGCGGGAGCCCTTTATTTAACCCTCTTTATTGCACATCACAAATGATGCTTTCTTTATTTACAATAAGCCAACATTCCAAGTGCCCTCCCTTCAACAAAGTAAACAAAAATAACCGACAACAGAAAAGTGTTTTTAAAAAAACCTGCAAACAGAATCCAAATTACAATTCTAAAGTGGTTGTAGAATTCAACCATCATATGTAGGATGGACTTGCATATGCCCACGTCCATCAACGCAAACCACAATTATTGACTAAACTGACCTCGACGTATCAAATGTAAAACTGACAAACACTGCTTAACAAAAGCAAACTAAAATTAACTACCACAATAATTCGCAAATAAATCCTAACATATTAAAATACATTTGTTATTGGCATAACAAGCGTTCAAGATATTGGTAACAGTTTTACTGAGAGCATTTTAGTCTTGAGAAAGTTTCCATAATGACTGCAAGGTTCCTTAAATATAAAAACCACCCACTTTGAAGAAAACACTGTTGGTAAAACGGCAATTTTAATTTGTACCCAAAACCTTTGTGCAACACATGCTGCAGTGAGTTAACAATGACATGTAACTTGTGGTTACACCCTTTCTAAGATTTTAATCTCATTTCTTATCGGCCAAATATAACTGTTAATGGACCTGTGATATTATCATTCTTTCTCACTTTACAGACGAAAAAAAAAAATAATACGGACAACTTCATGTTTAACTGGAGGGAGAGAAAAAGTTAAGGGTGAACTTATGCTTTTCAAAATGCAATAGGACAGACGTGCTTCCATTAAATATGTGAAATTAAGTACACAAGCGTAGAAATACAAAAGGAAATGCTTGAGCAAAATAATTAAAATTTTTTGTTAATTTTTAGATTCAATCCCTTTTCCCTTAAAGTAAATATTTATGGAGCAACCTTAGATTGTTTACCAGTTAAGAACTTTACTAAAAATAAAAAAACCTATTACAAACTCTTTTGTAAATGCCCACAGTATTCCTTCATTACACCAATTTTGCAACATAAATTCTACATCACTTAATCCAATTAATTTCTGAATGTTAAAAGAAATGTATGTATCTAAGTGGTTATTTTACCCCTTGGATTCATCTCCAAGACTTTGCAACATGGCACATTTCACAAAACATGATACCAAAAATTAAGCACTTGATTGACATTTGTTGCAGTATTTCTAACATACTTGTTCAAAATACAGTGAGTGCAGCAAGCAAAGCCCTCTCTTGCTTATTTTACTTCTCCTTTGCTTATTTTGAGTCGGCAATGATCCCAATTTTCCACTCGGAATTTCAGTTTGTATGGCAGGCTACCATTGCCATTTTTGCCTTGAAGCCAGGTGAAATCTCAAAACAAGCATTCCACATTTCACAATGCTAAACTATTTTAAGTCAGCAATGACAACAGACGCCACAATCACAATTTTCCACTCAAAATTTCAGTCCATGTAACAAGCTATTACTGCTAATCTATCCTACAAAGGCCTTGAAACTCAGGGAGGAAATCTCAAAACAAGCATTACAAAGCTCACAATGCTAAACCCCACCAGGCTAATATCAGCAATTTACAAGAAGATATTGTCTTAAGTTAGAGCCCCCAATGTACAGATCCACATATACAGATATTTACAAAGAAATTACGTACCACCCTCTTTTACCGCTCAGTTCTATATATTTTGTACAATTTAATTACGGAATGAAGTAGTGCAGAAGAAGTGGTAAGCTTAGATTAACTTGAAAGCTGGAAATATACCACAATTCTAACCTCAATTTAATGCCAATCCCACATCAAATGTTCAAATATTTAAAGCGTCTCATTTAAGCCTAGTTGAAAGAAATAACTAAGGACTCTTTCAATTGTATACTACACCACATTAAAATAAAATGTCTTCAGATATGAAGTTCTATTTTCGTTGATCATGAGTCCAAAAACAAAAAAAAAAAAAAAAAAAAAATTAAACCCTAACTCCCCTTTTTGAAAAAGGACCTTTCCCCAGTACTACCAGCTGAGGAAAGTCTTTTTTAAACCACACTATACATACTCCACAACCTCTCCTAATTTACCCCCAGAGAAGAAAAAAAAAAAAAAAAAAAAACTAGCAGGATCAGGTTTCCTAAAAAATATGAAGGACTGCTTCTATTATTCTACCCTGTACCACCTAGGTGGCTCTACTTGGGAAATAAGAGATATCCAAAAATAAGACAAAACTTTGTCTTTAGCAAGATCTCCTCAATGAATAAAGCATTTGATTAGGTAGAAAACTTTACAGAGCTTGGCAAAAGTTAATTCCCAAAACAAACTATTTACACCAGTGACTGTGTGACATTCAAAGGGAATCTAACACCTCAGAATGTTTCAAGTTCAAGGTCACTGTGACAGCCTCAGAGTTCAAGGTCACTGCAATGTCAGAGACCAAGGTCACTGTGATAGTGTCAGAGTTCAAGGTCGCTGCCATAAGAATCTGCAGAGTAAATATTGGTAAAGCAAGATTTCAGAAGGTAAAAGAACACCAAATTATCCATGATTTTTTGGGGGTACAGGCAGACAAAGCAGTTTGCATTTGGTCCATCACAATGCCGCTTCAGAGTTGAACAAATTATTATATGTTTATCATGTTTGGATGAGACGCTTAAAGTGGTCTGAACAGGTCACTGCCTTGGAGTCCGTCTTTTGGCCTTGACCATCCAAATGACCTCTGACCTTAGTCCACTTTGACCACACTGTAAATCTTGGACACGAACCAGAAACATGAGAAAAAGCCAATGGTTCCTTGAAAAAGAAAAGAAAAAACATGTTTATAATTATTAGTGCTTCCAGCCATCTAAAATCTTTTCCTTTCCTTCTTTTTCCTTTCAAAATTTTTAAATAATGACCATAAGTCATACAAGTTTAAAAATGATTTTTTTTTTTCAAATCAGTCAGATTTAACTCACCAGTCAACAAGAAAAACAAGAACACGATGATGATGGTGTATCCAAAGTACAGGATGGTGCTGGCAACCCCAGTGATCTCCAGCTTGGATACAAAGTAGTGGATACAGTACAGGAACAGGTAGATGGCAGTGAAACCACTGGTCAAGAATGACCGCCACCACCAGTGGTAGTCCTGGGAACAAAGAAAACAACATGATATTTTTGTTGTGAGATTAAACATTTCATTCTCTACACTAAGGTCCCACTCAGAAGACTAACTAGTATGAGGGTCAAAATATGGCCGACCCACTTAAATACTTCCCCATGGAATATCTATTCATTGCCTATTAGCAGATACAACGGCAAGCTTTGTGGTGGGTCGCCATATTTGACCCTCGGACTAGTAAGTCCCCTATTTTGAATGGGTTCTTCCACTCCGTGACCTTCCTCAGTGTGGGTTACTATATTCATCCAAATGGTTAGCAATTTCAGACAAACATGCAGAGGTTACTAGTGGGTCAAAACATAAGGCCAAGTTCAAAACTAGACATGTTCTTACAATTCTTTGTATTTTTTCAATTATTGCTAAATTATACATTACTGGCATGCAGACATGTTTTGTCCATTTTTTTTTACCATGTTAACTCAAGAAGCTATGAAAAAAATATTAAGCTGTATTTTGTGTCTTGTTCCAGTATTAACTCACCTCTGCACATAGATGGAAATAACAAAGAAGAATGGTGGCCTCAGAACATGTGATCATCAATATCACAAACACCACCAACAAAAACCCAAACATGTAGTACATCTGGTGGGACCTGAAAATATTAATAATTTACATTAATACATTTTCAAGAACTCTGTTAAAATTTAAGAAGATAAATGAAGTTAATATAATTGCACTTAAAAAACCTACATTAATTTTACTACTGTTGGATTAATGATTGATAAATTGGTTTTCCCATTCAATAATTTATTTCTCTAAATAAAAAAGCTTCCTTCAAACCAGTCAACCTACAAGAAAAGTACAGAATGGGGTGCAGTGGAAAGTTGGGATTTTTTTTTCTGAAACGCCAACTCACCAGATACTATTCAGGATGAAGAAAAGTTGAATAAATATGCATCCAAAGGGCAGAATTCCACCCATCACTATGCCTGGCAGGGGCCGCGTGTAGAAGGACTGCTCTGGAATCTGGCGAGGGATCTGGTTGGTACGCACAGGGTGCTCAATGGGCTAAAACAGAACATCAAAAATTTGTTGATTCATATATATATATACATCTATATGTATTTCTGTGAAGTTATCTGAATCTACTTCACACAGGCTGTAAGAATATCTTGAAACTATTGAATCAGCTCATATTGTTCCTGTTTCAAAAATTGAAAATGAAAAATTTTGGAAAAATAAATACTGGTCTACGGGAGGACATTGTTGTCATTTCTTATCACTTCTTACTCAAAACCATGAACAGCAAATAGTTCTCTTGGGCAGTTTAGAAACAAGATTTGCAGACTAATTACCAAAACTAAATAAGATCTAAAAAATTTGTAAAGAAGACATATTACAATACTTTGTAAAAGCACTAAGCAAAGTTCTAATTACTACTAACCCGCCTCTTGAATCCGAAGTACGCCCCAATGAAGGTGAGAGGTACGGAGATTCCAAACCACAGCGCCAGCAAAGCAACAAGGGTGCCAAAAGGAATGGCGGCACTGCTCCCCTTGATCCACAAGATAAGGTTCAAGAAGAAGAATATGCCAAATATCAGGCTGGAATGAAAGACAAAATCATTTGTTAATTCTACAGTATGAGACAAAGTATTCGGTTATCCATTCTCCTCCCAACTTTACACAAAAGAGAATGAAAAAGACATACTTTTGACCCCAAATAAAAGGACAATTGACTTAAAATGTTATCGTGGTCTAAATTCAAATTTAGATGATGAAGATGGCTCAAATGCAAGTGTCAAATTGTTATTATCTCAGCCAAAAAAAGGGTTCTGTTTTACCTCTTCTTATCTCTTTTTTTTGTACTCACCCAGGACAGAGAAAAGCTGTGAGAATCACGTTAGACTTCCACTTCTCACCCCCAAATGCTGAAAACAAAATCAAACCAATGATTTCTTTGGCAAACCAAGACTTGAATCACTGAAACTTTTTGTTTAATGAGACAAGAATTTAAAATCATGACAAGATAGAATGTTTAGCACAATGGCACCGAAAGTCTCCGATAAATTACAGATTTCGGCGAGATAAAACCATCCAATTCAATTAAAATATTAAAGCGTTTTATGAAACACAAAGGTAACCACTAAAATATGTAAATCTCAAAATGCAATAAGCTCCAAAAAGTGTCCAAAATCTGTGTGTTATTACAGCACCATAATTTATGACACACCAAAATCTAAATCTTGAAATCACTCTCAGTTTATCTGTGAGCTAGCAAAGTACTGTATTTCTAGAATTTCCAGGGAATCATGTCCTTACATTTATATATCCTAGAAGAGACGTAACCAGAGGGAGTTCCCAGACAGACATACAGCACCAAGACGCATGTCATCAACGCTCCACGATTGGCTGGAGACAGGAAACCAAGGCAGGCAAATACTGAAATGAAAATAAGTTTTTAATCACTGAAATACTTTCTCAATAGTAATAAAATAATCAAAGCATCAAAATTCATGTGAAGCATGTTATCATTTAAAACCTGATGAAAGGTATTATAACCTACAAAATAATCACAATTTCTCTCTCAACTGCACAAAAGAATGAAAGCATGTAGACAGCCTCCACACAGACTTAAATAACCAGAAACGGGTCCATCGTCAACGTCATTTCCCATCTCCAATTGTGGTTAAATCCACAGAAAAACAACTGTCTGAACTATCCAGGGAATACTCACTCAGAGTTATCAGTATCATGAAGAAAATCTGGACTCCTCCTCCTAAGAACACGGAGAGCAGCATGCCTTTACGCGGTGGACGGAACACATCACCATGGACCAACTTCCAGCCAAACTCTTCCTGGGCATCCTCCTGTAAATAAATAAATAAATAAATAAATAAATAAATAAATAAATAAAAATTTCTCCTGTTAATAGATATAAATAAATTAAATAAATAAATAAAATAATCAAGGAGAAGAACCATTTATATATATGTCACTGCATACAAAATTTAAACAATAAACCATAATGTACCTATTGGTTGATGTTCACTGCAATGAATGCTATAAAACAGGTCTTTAATGAGTAGGGAAAGTAAAGCTGTTTTAGACCCCATTTCCAGAGATTAGATCGATCTACTTTAGATCGACCTAACTCCCCGGGGGTTCACGCTAAATAGCTGTCAGCCGGGCGGACACGAAAGTTAATTACCCCCTTACAGCTTGTAGTAGGCGGGACGGACATTTAAGCCGGATTATCTGACAGTAATCTAGTGAGACTCTCTGCGGGGATAGATCGATCTAAAAGCTCTGGGAATACAGCCTTATTCACACTTGACACATGAGCATCACATATTGGGGTGTGGGTGGGGGTGGGTTGAGAGTACCTGTAACCAATACATACATATGGCTGTACTTACACAGTTGTCCATCTGGTTGTATCTGGCAATTACAACCTTATACATAACATACAGTGGGTGTCAAATACCTGTGACTGGTATAAACACACACAGGGCTGTACTTACAGAGTTGTCCATCTGGTTATATCTGGCAATGTCCTTGTGTAGAGTCCTCAACATGATCATAGCCACCATACCAGACAGGAACAGGACAATAACCAGGGAGTTCATGATACTGGAGAGGGAATAAGACAATGGGTAAAGATACTGATATACTTTTGTGTATGTGTGTATTATCTATTTTTTAATTGATCTCTCTCTCTCTCTCTCTCATTCTTAAATACACAAACTCTATTGCCATCATTCATTGACCCACTATTTTACCTTCCTTAACTAATCCCTCTCTAACACATATTCTCACACATCTCTCTCTCTCTCTTTCTCTCACAAACCTCTCTCTCTCTCTCTCTCTCTCTCGCTGG